GAATATGAATTCAGCAGTAAGATACAATATCGTGAAAATTTCCAAAGCGTACAAAAATAAGTAGTAAATGGTAATTATAAGTAATAGTTTGAACATTTTTTTTTTCTTTTGAGAAAAACATGTCACTTAAAAGTTTGTAACGAGTGTTCATACATAAAGTGTAAATGTATATATATATATATAGAGCGGTAAATAGTAAATACCCGTTGAAAACAATCGTGAACTCGTCGTTGTAATTTTTATTTATATCACTACAAAAAAACACTACAATTCCAACGAAAAATTCCAACGACAAAAATTTCTGTTGGAAATTGCAATGAATGTTCCAACAAACTTAATTTTATGTTGGAATAAGTATTGGATAGTTGAGGAATTTCAACGGATTTTTTCCGTTGGAATAGCTGTAGGAATTTATTTCCATAGGATTTTCCATTGGATATTTGCTATTGCAACGGCCGTTTTTCCAACGGATTTTTATACGTAGGAATATCCGTTGGGATAGCTATTCCAACGGAAATATAAAAAATTCCAACGGAAAATTTCCGTTGGAATGTAAGAGTTTTTTTTGTAGTGTATGTTATTATATATATTATTATTATTATTATTATTATTATTATTATTATTATTATTATTATAGCCTGTTTAGCCCGTTTAGCCCGAAGCCTGCTAGGGTTAGGGTTAGGTCCTTTTATTGGTAACCCGTTTAAATTCGGGCTTTTTAAGCCCAGACCGCTTAACCCGAAACCCGCTAGGGCTAACCCAAAACTGCAAGAGTTAGCCCGTTTAACATCTCTAGTGTTATCTACTTATTTTCAAAGACGGCAAAACGACTCGAGTGGCTCAATCTCCAGCACCTCGAACACAACTTGAGTTTTTTTTTTTCTTTTTCTTTTTTAATATATTAAAAAAATGGCTGAATTTTTGGCCGTGCCGATAGTCAACGGATTCAAAATCACTTAGAATTGGCCCTAGGTACACGACCTGGGAGACCCGGCCGAGCCCGACCCAGATTCACAACCCATCCTAATTTTTTTTCTTTTTAAAAAAAATCTATTGTTGATTTTCTGGCTCGGCCAACCGTGTTATATGTTGCATACATATGATTCTGAACCGTCCCAGTTTTAAATTCAGGCATGGGCCCAGACCCGTTGACCACGAGTCTGACCGAGCCGTGTTTATTCCGGTTTGGGTTTTGAAAGAGTTGTAATACTGGGTAATGGTCATTGAGCCTTGATCCATTGTACTCAAAGATTTTTTCAATTTGGAAAACACGAGAACCACTGCTCAATGCATATCTAGCTTTAGAAATTGAATTTAATAACCAAGACAGTACAAGATTGTTCGCACGCGTCCATGCCAAAAACTCAGAGCTACTATTAGCCTCTTTCAATAATTTAAACTCAGTTGTGTAATTATTAGACAAGTAGTATATATTTAAAAGTAAATTAAATAAAATAACACCTAGTAATTTTGTGGGGAGTTTGATGTGCAATTGTAGCTCGATGAGCTCTCCAAGATCCCTCGACCGTTTACTCGCGGGAGACCTGCAAAGATGTCGGGAGTGGTTCAAAGTCAATAAAGTGATATGGAAAACTGTATAGAATAGTTTAGAGTATAGAATGTGATTAACCTTACCTTCTTCTCCATTTTACCTATTTATAGGGAGTTATTAACTTTCTCAGTACGCTTTGTTCTTTCTCCGTCAAATCATTTATCCTTTTTTTTTTTTTTATCTTGAACTTACACGTGTCCCTTGTGGACCACCCTTATAACTGTCATCGTAGGTTGGGTCACCATGTACATAATGTTCCTACATGTTTAATTTTACAATTTTAATACTTTTTTTGAACACGTTTATTTCAAGTGTATATCACATAAACATGTGAGTACATTATACACTCTTGCACATACAACAACTTATGTTAAGAAAAAAATTGTTTCATTTCATCTTACTCACATGTTAAGAAACATATGAGTACATTATACACTTCGCGTTAAACGACAATCTAATTAGTGTCCAACATAATCGACGTCAAGTAGTGCACCCAAAAAAATGGAAGGAGATCTAGGTGGACTGGTGGAGTGATTTGATCACACGAATAGCATGTGAAAATTGGTTCCTCAGGTTGAAATCTAATACACGTGCAAATCTTTGATTGTATATTGACAATATAAGCTTTCCCGTCGCATAATACCGTGACACTTTATCACTGACTTTTTTTATTTGATATACTATATATGTGTATATAAAGTTTATAAAGAGATTATTATTAGTTTAAAAGGCGAATCATAAAAATATTCACTCAATATCCCGAAAGTCAGAAATCACAATCGACGTAGAATCAGCACTAAAATGAGAAATAAGATGCGGATCATAAAATCTCAGTATCTACATCAAACGCTTACAAAAAGTGTAGGATGTACGTAAATTAGTCTCCATTTAATTTGTTGAGTTACTATTGGACTATTTAGATACACAGACACACCATTTTAAAGTTACTTTCTTGGTGTTAGCTAGCAACAACCAATTAACATGTAATTAGTTTGAGGTTGAAGTCGCTAATGGGCTTTTTGTAGTCAAGCTGAGACGTGTTTGAAATGGATCTGGATCTTGAAGAGTCCATATATTTACTGATGTTGGTGGTCGGGAATGGGGCCCAAAACCCCATGGTCCAATTTACCCCACAAAAATGTCTATAAATGAATTTTCAAAGTTCAAACACATTATGCTCCGTTATTTATTTGAAACGTCCAACCAATTACACTATGACCCCCACACACTCTGAAATGAAGCAATAGAAGAGGCATAAGACAAGACTAAAAAAATGAAAAATAAAATAATGTGACTATTGCTCCAAAGTCCAAACGAAGCGAGTCTGGCATCTGCCTTATCGAGCTAGGCGACCTCAAGCGCCGCTCAACTCTTTAAAAAATAATATATAAACGCTTGAGATCGGCTCAAAATTTTACCTTAGTTCATCTCGAGTTTTGAATTTAAATGTCTAGACATGAGTATTTAGATATATTTAAACATGTTATGATGAATTAGTCCTCGTACTCAAAGTAGTCATCGACTTTCCCTTCCCGCCTCAGTTGATCACGCCTACTTTCTCATAAGTTGGGTTTCAAACATATGGGGAATCAACCCATTTAAACTTTTCGATAAAGTGAAAATGGAAGCTATTGTTGCTTATATCGATTCAGGCTCGATTCATTCTCGTTTTCCTTCTATATATCAAGTTAGAGCAAGTACGATAGTGAAAATAAAAATTGTAAATATATGGTAATTTAAGAAAAAAAAAAAGATATAAAAAATAGTTTATCGCAATCACAAAGTATGGTCGTCAAAACCGCATTATATCAAATAAGCTTTTTAAATGTGTCAATCTGCTATTTATACTCAACATACTGCGTAATTGATTGCACAGTACATATGAGATTGTAAAAAAATAAAATTAACCATTTATTGTAGTCAATACTTAACACATGAGTATAGAATAAACTGAAATAGATTTTGTCCTTTATGCCTTTGTGTGTTTGGTATGAACTAGTTACACTTGCTAGAGGTTAATTGTGGAGATAAATCGAAGAGATAAATCCGGAGACGGATTAATTGTAATTTGGGGTTAAATTAGAAAGTTTAATAATAATTTTTTAGTGGTCATGTGTGATGGTAGACCAGAGCCAGAGTATCATTTCAGACAGGGAGTCCTGATTTAACACTTCCTTTTGGTCCCTACTGTAGTTTATAAATACATGTCCCCAATTCTTCTCTCTCTAGTTCACACACAATATTCACGAGATATTTAGTTTTCTCATGCAAAAACACGAGAGGAAAAACAAATGAATGGCATGACATATGTGCAAGAAAATTGAAGACAATTCGGTCTTCTTTGTTCTTCCCCGAGCTCGAACGCACGTGACACTTGAGACGGGGAGATCCAAAGATTCGTCACCTAAAAAGATGAGCTTGGAGAGGTGTCAGGATATACAACTGAAGATCGTGAGATCAACGTGTTCGTCTAGTCTCATAGACCGTGTAAGTCTAGTCAGAATCGACAATTTTAAATCGTAAAATTTGAATCAAATTGTTATTTTCGTTGGGCGTAGGATTTAATTCTCGTTAGATTCATGCACAATCAGCTGAGCGTTCTTCACCAACCCAACAATGAGCATATTCCACCCTTTTATCTTAATTATCAAGAGTTTGTATGCAAACAAAGAGGTAAAGAGTAGTGTAAAAATATCATGGTCGTCAAAACCGATCGAACCGGCCGGTTCGATAGATTGGACAACCGATTAGTTGCCAGATCCGGTCTAAACCAGCCAAGAACCGGCCGGTTGGACCAATTTGAAAAGTTTCATATTTCTTTGTCTAAAAAAAAATAAATTTAATATCACCTGTTCGGTGCAAAATCAAAACCGAACTAAATAAAGCCAAAATCCAAAAAAAATAAAAATAGGAGGGAGTACTAAAATAGTAATCCAACACCATGTGAAAAAAAAGTTAGAAAATCAAATTGTAAAGTGGTCAAAAACCATCAAATTGCACAATTTGACTCTATCTTTTTATTAGGTTTAGTTCTCCAGTGCTACTACTATGTGCCTTGGCACACCTAGCAAGGTGTGCCAAAACAGTTTAAAATGAACATGTTACTTCATTTTAAAAAAGTCTCGACACACCTTGCTAGGTGTACCAAGGCACATCTAACCAAGGCACATCTAAGTATTTGGGTTAGTTCTCGCTCACCCATAATATACGTGTACTCCATGCCAAAATTACTTTAGTACTTGTGTAAAATAAAGAGAGAGCTTTCCTTTTTCCCAGCTAATCAAACAGACTACTACTCCCAAAGACAAACAAGAAATAGGCCCTTTATATATTTAAGTCTAAAATTGGAACAAATAAATATATAATAGTTTTCCCCTTCCCAAATTTCTTTATAATTTATTCATTATCAAATTAAAAACCAAAGGATTTGTGAACATTATGTATATAATTAAGATTCCTGTACACCAGGCTCAGATGATCTCTGCCGCTTGTTTGCTCGGTCAGTTTCATCAGCATCCGAGCCAGAAACCGAAGCTGGAGTCTCCGGTTGGGACTCACAGGTGGCACAAGCCGCTGCCTCAAGGACGCCTAGGGGACTCGGCGGCTCAACAGGGTCAATGCTTAGTTCTTTGGACGGACACGCGTCGAACAGGTATTCGTCCATCAGTTGATGACAGCTCTTCACCATTTCCTGCCAAAAAATATAAAAAAGAAAAGCGAAACAACAAAACGTAAATTTATTACTTTTTACCCCCTGAAAATTAGAAATTACTATTAGTTACCATCCCAATCCGAACACACCAGAAAGTTCGAAAAAATAACGAATCCACCTCCAGATCTTACCCTGCTTATCCTCCCATCGAGGGTGTCCGGCAGGTCCATGCCCTCGCCGGCGGCGGCAATTGCCGCGGCTGCGGCAACCACCGACGGTGGAAATCCGAGAAAATCTATCACTGTAATGCGAAATTTATTATAAAAAAGTAGTTGACGGCAAAGTTAAACCACTCAAATCGTTTACCGCGGGTGGTCTTGAGGATAATGCCGGAAGCTACGCCAAAAATGGCAGAAACTGATTCAGAGCCGGCGGACGGTGGGCGGAGCACGGCGATGAAACAATTGAGAAAATCAAACGGAGTCACGGTGCGGAGGTTCCATTTGAGGGCCCCCAGCACCAAAAGCTCCATTCTCTGCACTGTTCCCGGCTGGAAAACGTGCGCCGGCTCAAGCGCTTGCAGCTCCAAAAGCAGCGGGACACGGATTTCTTCCATTTTCGCCGCCAGAGATAAGCACGTCACCATCAGAAGGTGAAAGGCCCATCTGGTTTCCTAAAAATTGCACCCGATCGGAAAAAAAAAAAGAAAAAAAAAAATCTCTGCAAAGTTCCGTACACAAAATTAAAGCTGTATCTGCAGATTGGAAGAGTTACCGGCAGAGTACGGGAGGATAAAAATCGATCGAAGTAGCTGATGGAGAGAAAAGCGGTCACCGCCTTGAATCCAAAATGCGCACGAACCTTGGATGATGATTGAGCGATCGAAAGCTTAATTATCTGCGCGATTACTGAAGAAAAAATAGGAGTGATTGAAAAATGGCGACGCCGGCCAATACCTGGAGGATGGAGTTGATCGAGTCCTGGCGCAAGGTGCGTAGGCGGGAGCGGCTACGGCAGAGGCGGACATAATCGGGTCGGGGCACGTGGCGGAGATCCGAATCCAGAATCCGATCGACGAAGGAGGACTCGTCGGAGAGGAGCGGCGGCGGGGGGTGGTCGGCGGATCTGGCGGCGGCTAGTTCCTCCACGGAGAGAGGGGCGGAATCGAGGCGATGGGACATGG